TAGGATTGCCCAACCTTCCTTCCGAGGAGTGGCTGGTGGGTTTGAACCGCCAGCCTTCTGGTTAGCAGTCAAGTGCCTTAGGCACTATGCTACCAGAACTCCTAGGGACTTGTTACGTTTTTATCTGGACTTTTGTTTGTGTTGGTTATTTTGCAGGTCCTTCACAGGGTGGTCCAGGTCCTCAGTATCCCAACTACTCACAGGGACAAGGTCAGCAGTATGGTGGATATAGACCATCTCAGCCTGGACCACCACAGCCACCCCAACAGAGGCCTTATGGATATGACCAGGTAAGTTATTTGGCTAGTTGTGAGATTGCCTTATTTCTTATTTACTCTTGATGACGTTAAGTATTTTTTCACTGGATGGGTCATTTTTCCCTTCTGTTCATTGTATATGAATTAAGCAAAAAAGTATATTAATTTACAGTGTCTTTCATAGGATGTTACCATAGTCAGTCACAGTTACTCTAATGTGTAATTTCATTATATCTAGGCACGAGCATTCAATTCACTCTCTCCCTCTTCTCTATTTTGTCTTTACTCCTAGGAATATTTCCCTTAACTATTCTAAACATCATTCCCTTTTCTAACGCCCCTAATTTCTCAGCTCTCCTTCATGTTTTTTTGCTGAAGACTGTGCCTTGAGCTCTTGAGATGTGGAGTCCATCCTGTGTGCTCTTCTTAGCTCTCATCTTCATTTCCAGGTATCTACCACATTTCTGTAACATCCATGATATCCCATCTCTTTAAATTCACACTTTATACCTGTGTCTGTTTCTTCCTTCCATACACATAACCATTATCTCAAGTATTATTAACCTTTCTTTCTCCCTTTTTATCTGTTCTTTTACCTTCAAATGCGTAGAAATGTATCTCATGGTAAGACGACTACTTGAACCTTAGTGCTCATTTAAGTGCCTTCCTTTCATCATTAAACTTCTCTGATTTATAATCCATCCCACGGTCCTTATTTGATGAATTCTCTCATATATACTTTTAATGTTGCTGTTGTTGTTAAGTGCTGTCGAGTCGTTTCTGACTCACAGCAACCCCATGCACAGCAAAACGAAAACACTGCCCGATCCCGTGCCAACCCCACAATCCGTGCTATGCTTGAGCCCATCATTGCAGCCACCGT